CAGTGAAAAATTAGCATTGGCTACAGCAAGCATAGGAGAGGAATGCTGCCCAGAGCACGACCACTTCACATGAGTCCCCATACTTCCAGGGACAGATCCACAGAGGATGAAACAATGTAACATTAAATACGTTGAGTCTTTGAAGTGGGCCAGGGTAACAGCAATTCATCACTCCCAATGACCTTGCACATTTCAGCATGAAATAACTGGCTGTTTATGGTATGATGAATAAGATTATGTGTTACCAAGAGGTCATTAGAACCACAGTTCAATCCCACTCCTTCCACAAGCCTACAGCATCCTTCATTACTAATCATATGCCATGGACTGCCAAACAGCCTATATGGAAACGATGGTGCCAACAGCAGCTTTACACCTCTAATCCTTTCTTTCCTCACAATATCTGCTCCCAACTGGATAATGCTCTGCTGACAGCCTGCTTGCTCCAACAGCATGACAGGACCAGCGCCCTGAAACCATGCAGCCCCCCAGAGCTTTGGGGAAACTTCTCAGCCTTTCACATCATTTTATGGAAACAAAATTAAAAACACAAGGTTTCTCTATGTTACATTTTTACAGCTAGAAATCGATCATCAAATGCAGGGTCGCCGTGTTATCAGGCTATTTCCAGAAAATAAAAACTAACAAAGCACTTATCTCTACAGCGACAGTTTTCAGTGAATACAAATCTGTTTAGGGATTTCATTTCACGTTACAGAGAGCGGCACGGAGGCTCAGAAGCACCTTCAGATCGACGCAAGGCAGGATGCCGGGCACGGGGCAAGAGGCAGAGAGGAGAGACCATCCTGCCCACTATGCCGGTGACAACTCGGTCCGTTCTTTCCGCGTAAGGCCACTCCACCCCCAGCAGGACCCTTAAACAACAACCTTTACCCCGAGCACCGCTGCTAGGAAGGCTGCAGCCCTCAGCTCCTTCGGGCAAACTTCGCGCGCGGACAGGAGACAAGAGATGGAGCAGCCGCTGCCCCTCAGCCGCCCAACCGCAGAGCGGGGAGAACTTTCTTCTCGCCCTGAGCCCCCCACCCCTCCCGGCCGGGCCTTACCTTAGCGGCTCTGGAGGAATGGCACTGCACCTGGTGGTGGGACACCGTCGCCGTCTGGTTCATGGTGCCGGGCTGCCGCTCCGCGTCCCGAGGCTGTTCCGGGCTGAGTCGGGTTGGGATCGCCGCGAGCCGCCGCGAGCCGCCGCCTCACCCTGGCGGAGCGTGCAACTGCTGGCAGAGCTCAGCCCTCCGCTCTGCTGCTCGGAGTCGGCTCGCGGCCAAAAGTTCCTTCACAGCGCTCCCTCCGGTGCCGCCGCTCCCCTCGGGCTGACTGCTGCTCCCGGCAGCGGCACGCGAGCGTCAGCGCGCAGAGAGGCGCGAGCAGCGGCGTGACTGCCATCGCCGGCGCACATGGGATTCCAGCAGCCTCCGGGCTTTGGGAGGCACTGCAGCGGTTCCACGCTCTCCCCTCCTCCGCAATCATTGCAGCTCTGGCTGTGCTTCTGCCCGACTAACTTTTTGTGGGGTTGGGTTGGGGTGCAGATTGGAAGCTTTCCCCGGCAGCCACCAAATGCTCCTCCACAGGTGCAGCCCCGAGCTGGAATCATAGCCGGAAGACCGTGATACGGCACACAGCATCCCCTGCAAAGAGGCAGAAACAAAATCACAACAGAGAAGATTTGCTTGACGTTTTTGGTTGTGCTTTGGGCAGCTCAATGAGCACCTGTGTAGGCATTTGTCCCAGCTAAGCATCTGCCCAGAGCTGTGGGCATCACATCTGGAATTCTGTCCCTGCAAGGGCAGAGAGATGGGCAAGATGGGAGCTTGCTGCTGCCAGGGGTACAAAATCCCCAAACGGCTGTGAGGCCTCTGAGCCACACCTGTAGCCCTCATCTGACTCCAGCTGTCAGCCTGAGCTCCTTCAAGTGGGGCTTACTGTCAGAAGATTGGATTTTCTCAGAAGGAAAACTCCTTACAACCATCTCAGATTTAATCTCTCTAAAGTAAAGCTTCATTTTGCACACTGCAATTTAGACTCAAAGTCATCTCCAATGGAAGCCAACCATGGAGGGAAGGAGTCCCCACGTGCCCAGCTCCTGGGGCAGACATGGTCACCTCCAGGCACTGCACTGGGCCTGGCTGCCCGCCCACACACCCCATTTGCATTAACCTCCTTCACCTTATCGGATTTATTGGATTTTGAGCAATAAAAAACACATTTAGCAAGCACAGCGGGCTGAGCAGTGCTTTCTTTCCCCTCTTTCATACACAGACAGGAGTAAAGCTTTAATGGGTATGGTCTAGAGGGAGGTATCCCTGCACATAGCAGGGGGTTGGAACCAGGTGATCTTAAATGTCCTTTTCAATCCAAACCATTCTATGATGGTTCAGAAGACTGAACTCACACCTCGTTCAGTTGGAGCTATGGATGTTTCTAAGCTCCTGTGGAAACTTTGTGTAAAGTTTTTTTGCTTGATTTTATGCTTCCCAGTGGCTGAGTTACATGAGCCACAAAAGCAATTTTAAGCCAACACAGAAATATTTTCCTTGCTAAGATAACAAAATAAGCAGTGTGGGTAAAAAGCTGCCAAAGGGAGAGAAATGAGATCAATAATTTTCTGGCATTGTTTTTAAATAAACTTCTACACATTCTAATTTATCTATTCCTAGAGAGGACAGGTGCTGCTGATTAACCTCCTGCTCCAACCAGGTGCAATCTAATGGTGGCATGAACTTACCCCGGGGCTCAGGACTTGTAACAACTCAATCAACACACCGTTCATCATTGCAAGCTATCTTAGAAGCACCTTGGATCAGTAGGGTGGCCTTCCATGAGATGCCAGCTGTCATCCTCCAGTGCTGCCATTCCCCTCCACCCCTTGGCTGCTGCTAATCCTCCTCTGTGAGTAATCCTCTTTGGGATCAGAGCTGCGTAGTGCCGCTCATACTGGCTGTTAGCTGCCAATGCAAGTATCCACATTAGCCCTGCAAAGAGCTTTTTAAAGATTTCAGCACCTCTAGGGCACAGTTAAATAACTGAGTGATTACTGGAATATGCTGGAGATTATTAAAGCTGTAAATACCTCTCATACAGACTGCAATGGAGCTGGTGGTACCTGCTGTGTTGGAGCTGCACCTCAGCACTTGGGATGGACCTCCTTCCTGAAATGTTTTAAAAAAGAGTAAAGAAACCAGCACCGTCAGCCAGGAAAATGAAGGAAACTCTCCAGAAAGTTTAAATGAAGAAAAATCCCCATTCCTGCCAGAACACCCTGCCTGCCCCAGGGTCCTGCCATGGGACATGGTGTTCTACAGGGCCCTGATTGCTATCCCAGCCCTGTAGGCTGCTGCAAGGACTCCTCAGACAGTTCCCTGGCTATGTGCTCCCCTACCTCCTGTTTGCTGAACCCTATTTTCTTTCAGAAATACCCCAAGCACTTTCTTTGATTTTTGAGCTCTATGATCCAAATTACAGTGTATGATTGCTGTTCTCAGAAATAAATAAATCAGATTCAATATTGGTAATTAGGCATACTTTATCACAACATAGCTCCCATAGCTCTTCGCTTTCTTTTCCACACAAGTCCATCAAATCCCCTTTTGCTACTGTTCCACACTTCTGTTCCTGTGGTCATAGGCATTGGCAGCAATTGTCAGGAGCAAATTCATCTCCTAACTCACAGTGCTCATGATCAGACTGCAGACTTTTCTGTTCATACACCACAGTATGTTAATGTCAGCAGGGATGCTGGCACTGGAACACTGTATTACTTCAAGGTGCTGTCCTTGTCACTGTACAAGCTTCCATCCCTTTTGTCATGCCCAAACTCCATCTCAGTTCACCATCATTGAGTTCTGAGGGGTTTGAGCATCATTCATTGCTATTTTGAACAAGGAGGATTTACACTGTTGCTAAGCTGTTGCTTAAAACTTAAAACATCCAGTTCAATACATGGATCCGATGAAGGAACCAGGTCGTCTCAGTAGATGTTCCTGGTTTGTACAAGCCAACATTCATAGAAATGTATGGGCAGATCTGTTAGATTTGCTTTCTGCTCTTTTGCACTATGTTTGCTTTAAGAGAATTCAGTTAGATGAAATATTTGTGCCTCTTTGTAGAAACAGAAGATAGACTCAAATGCTCCGTACCTGCACAATGATTCCATCAATTAGTTTTCTGTACCAGTTCAGGTGCATAGTGTAAAATTACAGCCAAAACATTAAAGAGTCCTCCCTGTTACAACGATAACAAGTTGTTTCAACTAGATTTTGCCTGCAAGCATGGGCTATCCTGAAAACAGGCTCATCAAATCTCTGTATCACTGACCTGTATGGAATGAAATTCAGCAAAGAATCAATCTTCTTTGATCTCATATGAAGTCTGTAACAGACCCCAGGAGGAGTAGGTTCCAACTTACTGTTTCAGTAAAGAGTTTTCTCATTCATTTAGCCTTGTATCTGCAGGAGCTACTGCATTATAAAAAGGTGAGCTGACGGATTTGAGAAGCAGATCTAATTTCATGCATAACTATTACTCACACCGCTAACAGGATTCAATATTTCTACCACCAAAGAGCTCTGGGCTGAGTAATGTTTCTGCACACCTGTAGATTTGCAGGAATGCAGCTCACTATCTCCCTGCCCGCAAGCACTGCAATGTTCCCATGTTTATTGCACAGCACTCAGAAGATATCACAAGACACTGGAGACATGCCGGAAGTTGTGTTAAGTGCCTTTCTGTACCAGTTTATGCTTCTTTAAGCATTAAAATCTTGCTTGCTGTGGCAAACACTGAACTTCATGCAGAACACTTAGTATTGCTCACTTAGTATATGTTCACTGCATGAACAGTGTGCATGACAGTTCTGTCCATTGCTGGTCCTCTGGGGGGTGTTTGTGTTCACTGCAGGTGGGTGTACATCCAAAATCCACAGTCCAGTGGGGTTTTAGTAAGGGTTCCAAACTGGAACACCTACTAAAATGAAATGTTAAGCAAGACCAAGAGTAGTGGTGTAAGTAGGATCCTCTCCCTTATCTTCAATGTATGGAAGGGGTCAACCAAGAGGCAACCACAATCCCTATCTGTAGCTAAACCCTCTGATACATCATACAAATTCCCACCCTCAGACCATGTTTGGTCTTTGAAGTCTGTACATACCTTATAAATAGCCCTGCAAAACTGTCAAGGCATCGCCAAGCGTATTACGACACAACTTGTTCTGATCCAGCATTAGTCCCCTCAACATGGAGATTTTCCTCACAATCCCTACTGCATCTCAGCTGAAAGATTCCACAAAATTCATCCTGAGACATTGTGCTGGGCTGAGGAATTTTACTCCAAGCTGTTTGTATGTGGAAGAAGCATCCTATCATCAGCTGGCAATAAATCTGGAATGAAAAAAAAATGAAAGAAAGATTGAATATTTAAAGGGTTTGAAGTTTTAATTAATAGTTTGTAACTATGGAGACTGAAGTGGAGAAAGAGGTTTTTTTGCATTAGAACACCCAGAGGCTGCAGGAAAGAGTGATGCTTTCCAGATTAAACAAAAACAGAAGAGTTTAATGACAACAGCAAAATCAGGAATAATACTGAAAGCATAATTATTCAAAATACTATACTTCAGTGCTACTAAAAAACAGCAACACTCCCCCTTCCTTCTTTCAAATGGAAAGCTAGTAACACAGAAAGTGATGGATTTTCTATAGATGAAAGATAATCTACAGTCAATTAAGCATTTTCCCTAAAACACTGCATAGGAAAGAAACAACAAGAAATGGTTACCATCAGAAATTAAAAGACGCTTTCTCTACCCAACTGAAAATCTCTTTCTCCTACAAGACACGTATTTCTGTCTCTGCACTTCAAAGATGCTTTCACAAGAATCTGAGGATGCTATAGAAATCCCCCAACTCATTGCCTCATGTATGAAATAGCTGATGAGTGATTAATCTTCTAGGCTATTCTTTTCTCAGAATATTTATGTTTTGGTTGCGCATAGCTTGTATAGGTGTTTCTTTGTCACAGCTGAAGCCACCATTTTAATTAAAATGAATGAAATCTAGGACAGCAGAAATCCTGCTGGAGGGCCTCTGGTCTGATTGCCTGTTTCCACTTCAACTACCCACCTCCAGGACAAGGGAGAGATACCTGACAACAGCAGCAGCCTCAAGCAAGTGGCCAGCAGGTGTTTTGGCAGTGTTATAGCTTAGAGTGTATCTACTTAGCAAACAAAGGATTCTGCACAATCTCTAACATCTCTAATTGTTGCTTCAGCAAAGGAAAATATACAGTGGCACAGGGAAAGAGAAAACTCTTACAGAATGGCCTTACTGAAGTAGAGAGAAGACAGATGATTGGAACTTGATGGCAGAGCTCGGTCACAGCACACTCATTAGAGAGGCAATAAACTTCACATTTTAGATACAATCCTTGTCATGGGACGATGAAGATGACTGTGGAGATGGGGTCCAGGACTTGGTTTCTTTTACTTCTGATGTTTGCAGGCACAAACGAAGCACGCTTTTCAAAGAGAGCCTTTTTCTTCTGTGTGCATAACATTCCATCAGATGTGTAATGTCTTTTCAGTAAGGAAACATTTATATTCCTTCTCTCTCTTTTCAATAACAAGTCTGCCAGTCACAAGCCTCCCTTGCTCAGCGACTACTGCCACACTGTAGCTGACAGGCTGTGGAAGTTTTGGCTGCCCCAAATCACTATGAACATTTTCTTCTTTTTTTTTTTTTTTTTTTTTTTTTTCCTGTTAGAATTATGGAGCATTTCTATCTCACTGCTGTGTACCAATGTACTTTCACACATATATATCACTGAGTTTTAGCAACATGAAATACTGCATCCAGCCAGTTATGAAAAACTACCTTGTCAATGAGACACAGCACTGCTGCCAGCTGCTTATTCAAATTTCATTTAAACATGCACAGAAATCATTTCTTTATACTTTGGCATGTCTTTTTTGTATTCCAGTTACAAAAAGCAGTATGGGGCATCCCCTCTTTACAATAAATCCTGGTATCTTTCAGTGGAAATTACTTGGTGTCACAACACTTAAACTACCCAGGAAACAGAACACAAGATTGGAATGGTTTCTTCTCTCCCTTGGGCTTTAGAAAATCCCAGAGAGGTACTGAAGCCTGTGGGACTCAGAGGACTGGGGGGAGTTCGTCAAAGAGCACAAGCAATTTGTCAAAGATAACAAGTCATACATGTGCTTATATATCCTTCAGCAATTCTTCAATAAACAATGCCAGCAACTGCATCATTCTACCTTCCACTAGGTGGAATGGTAACATTTACGCTTATTGTGGTGCTGGAGGCCTCTAATGACAGCTCGAATACCTGTAGGCAAGTGCTGTGCACTGCATTCACTTATAACTTCTAAGACAAAAGCAACACGGCCATCCTGCGTGCACCATAAAATACAGCATCCCTAAACACATAATCTAGCCATTATTTTTATTTCAGTATATTTTCCATACCACTCTGAAAATACGTTTTTATTACAGAGCATGATTTGTCAAAAGCTATTCTGGCTGGTGAAAGAAAAAGAGCAGAGAAATCAGAGCTGGCTTAACCAGCTTTATATACCTGCTGTTTCAGCCTCAAAGATAAATTACATTGCAGGAGCACGTTCACTAAACATTCATGCTCTCCTTCTTGCCCTCCTACTTATATTCAAAGAGCAGAATAGAAAAACATAAATCAAAGTCACAGAACATATTTCTTCTCCAATTCTGAAGCTGACATATCTCTATGCTGGAATCATAACCCCCTACAATACAAATAAAAAGCATGGCCCAGCAATCACCACATAAAAAAATAATTACAGGCAGCACAGTAATTTACACTTATCTAAAGCCTCTCACCCAAGGATCTCAACGCAATTTATACACAATACAGATGGGGCTGATATAAGAACAGCAACGGCAGGGGGCTGTTTGGGAATCACGGGATGCTCTATACTGTGCAGCTCTCTGCTATCTAGAAATTTACATTAGCCAATTATTCTACCAGCAGTTGGAACCGAGCTACAGACTTCTGTCCAAAGTTTTAGAACAGCTTAGGTCCATATTGAAAGGCAAGGTCTGAGCTTCAACCAGTGAGTTGAAGAAATTAAGAAAGGATTTGATCCAACATTGCCCATCAGATGTCATCCCCAGCTTCATGAGGTGCTCATCCAAAGAGTCACCAGGAATAACATGTCCTTTTTAACAGTCCAGACACTGTCAATAGCACAGGGCCACAGGGTTACAAACTCTGTTACATTAACCATAGGTATGAAACTGCTTTTAGTTTCCTAATTCCCAAACCGTAACTCTGAGGCATTGGGTAAAAGTTTGGGGAACTGCACTAATTTGTGTTTCAGAACTTTACATTGGTAATCTATTTACATTTTGAAGGCAGTTTTCATATGAAAAAGATATATTGGCTCTCTCCATATTATAGGAGAGGAGTTTAGCATTTTTTTTCCTCAGCCTTTGAAGTGCACGTACACAAAACTGTATAAATTATTTACTTTGTAGGATCCCCAAACGGTAATTTTGGGGGAAAAAAACAAGATCTCTTTCGTCAGCGTGAGCTACAGGTGTCATCAATAGTAGATTCCAGTTTCAGCCCTGGGTGGCAGCCACACCAGCTCTCAGCAGGGAGTCAGAGTTTGCCAGGCAAGAACACAGAGACAAGTGAGTGGGTGGGTTTCTTCCCTTTGCTCACAATCCCTGGGAGCTGATCCACACAAGACTCATGAATTACTGAAGAATTATTCATAACAGGATGTTGAAGGGAGTGGATCACACTGGATTTTTTTCCTTGTTTCTCTGCTTTTTTTGAGGGGGATGAGTGGCAATAAGATGATTTATTTAATTAGTATATGGCCCTCAGAAATTGTTAGTATTCAGTGTTACCCATTAAGAGGCAGATATCAAAGGAAAAAAAAAAACATTAATAAAAAGCAAATCTCATAACGAGACTGGTTTGAGCTACATTCTGCCACTAAAACCCAAAGACACAAGGGTCATTTATCGTTCAGTTCTCATACTGCTTCAGTCTGGGGCTCACATCTTCAAGAGGCAAAAAACCATTTCACTTAGCAGCAGAGAAGCCATGCCTATGTACACTGCCTGCGAGTCTCACCCAGTGCTCATTTGTTTCACCCATCCTAATTCCTTGACAAAGAGCTGCCAAGGTCTGGGTCTGGAAATGCATTACCAAGTGTCACTGGCAGCAAACTCTTTCTCTCCCTCATTTCCAAAGTATCCAGTGCATAAAAGACTGAGTTGTGGAAAGTGAACAGAGGCAAAAGCAAAAAAATATTGGACTGAAGGAGTAAGATTCTGCAGTAAATTCTGGCAAAAACAAGATCTGTGGTCACCTGTTAATACAGGAGTTAATTCCACAGTTCATTCTTGTGTTCATATATTTATGAAAATGATTTATTACATGGAGCTGTAGCTGTAAGGAGGTGTATTAGATAACCCTACAAATCTTTGTCCATAGTTTCTCTGCTCTCTTGGCAGGCAGCTATTACAAGAAGTTGGTCTGGAAACAGCAAGGTTTTTGATTATCAGCACTGTAGGTTTTGCACTGAGTTTGCAATTTAATACAGAATCACTACAGAGACCTGATAACACGAGTGTGCATTTGCCATTTGCTTTGCTATGATGTTTCTAATCATCATACACCGGTCCGGAAAGACTTTCTAGGGGCACTGCTATAGCAGATGACCAAATAACAAAGTCCATTTCATAAATTGATAGATTGCATTGTTCTGACATTTCATCTCACGTAGTTTTATTTCTAGTTACAGAAACTTTCAGTCAGTGGATTGAAATGCCAGACACACTCCTGATGGAAGTGTCTTTTATACTCAGGATATTAAAGCACTGAAAAGGAAGGAAAAAGAGAAGGTCCAAATGATATCTTGCAGCCAAGAGGGAAATTTCTTGTATTTGTTTTCTCCAAGAGAAAAGATATTTTTGGAGAAGCTGAATTCTTCAAAGCTTCCCATGCTGAGTCTTGGCAGCCTCCAAAACATCAGGAGTCCTGAGAAGGAGCAAACATCACAATGCCAACAATACCCACTGAGGTACAATCAATAATGAATTTGGAGTATACATGGTTGTATGAAAAGTGGTCTTCTGCAACCAACTTCATGTTGTCTTGCCAATGCAATACAAGCTCAGCCATGCTGTTGGAATAAAAGTCTGTATCTCACTTGATTTGCTTCCAAAGGAGCTCTAACAGTACGGAACAGTGGGAGACTACACAATAAATTTCACACTAAATGGATTAAAATTATAAAACCAATAGATCTTAAAACATAAATCTATATGTAAGTATCTGTCCTACTGCAGTGCTACTGCACAGTTTGTAT